TTGAGCACTCAAAGAAATGTTAAATGCTGAATCACTGCACATTAACTAAAAGAATGACTAACAACTCACATTAAACTGTATGCCACTTATTTTTAGTTAATTTTATATCAGTAATTTTCTTGTTCTGATACAAGCCTTTGCACTCATTTTACTGTCATGCTAGCATTACTTCTCCCACAGTTAGAGAATATAATCTGGAATGTGTTTTTAATACCTTTTTTCAACTGAGCAATGGCCTTGGTGGCTTGTTTGTAAGAAAAAGTGCAGAGAGTAAATATGTATGTATAAAACACCTTTTCAGACAGGAAGCTATATTATCATACCATACTTACAACAAACAACGCATAAATGTATTTGCAATCAATAATTCAAAGTAAAGGAGTCCTTTAAAATCACCACATTCAAAATAAAAGTAGATATAAATCTGATTTAATAATATTCAGGTGTAACACAGGACCAGTAAGAGAGAACAGTGGGACACCCAGGTCTGGATAAATGCTTTGTCACTTGACTTTGAAGACAGATCTGAAAAGGAATGAGGCACTGTAACACTTCAGTGTCAAACTGCAACGCACCTGGCCCACCGAACAAAAACCAGGGCCCTTTTTAGGTGCTCCAACTTTTGTATACAACAGAAGGGAGAGCCAATCATCCTTGGCCGTGAACCAGTTCAAGGGCAGAATATGGCATTTTCCAATAGGAAATCTCAGAACAGCACATTTGCGAGATCTTTTGCCTTTTAAATGTACGCAGCTTCCCTGCAGCCCAAGGCCCAGGGGAAAAAGTCATCTCCCTGGAGGATGCACCTTTTCGTGAGTTTGTTCTCACACAAACAAGGCACAGCCACGCTCTCCTTCAAAAACATGAGGTAGAGAGCAGCTGCAGCTTCCCTTTAGTGCTCTATTTAACTGCACAGGGCACCTGGCCAGGAGGAGTGAGGGAGACACACGTTCTGTTCTCTCCTACTGCCGAGGCAGTATCCTGGAAGATGTCTGTGTCACCAGGCTTGGCGACTCGCCGCTTGGGGCACTCTCTACTCCTTACCTCCCGAGGGCAGGAAAGAGACAAAAAGCACGACATGGGTTGGCTAGGAGGGCTGTCCAGGTTGGAGGGAGTCATCTTCTAGCTTCTGCCTCAAGAACTGTGGAAGAATTCTATCCGAAGACTGCCCAGGGAAACAATTTCCCGTTAATAAATATGGGACCTGCAGAATTGCAGTTATAGTAACAAGTGTTTAATTGCCTTCTATTCTTTTTGTGCTCAAAGGAGTTTTTTGGGCACTCAAATCCCAGATGGGTATCTAAATAAAAAATGAGTCTTTTGAGTTAAGAAAGTACTTCCCAAACTTCAAAACTAATGTCAGTAAACTTACGTAGGATGCATAATGTGAAGCATGAAGCCCCAGTGGTTTTATTGCAAATCACTCAAGGATTTTTGGTTGGACCTCTGTAAGTTTTGTTTTTAACTAGTTCAAGTAGTTGATTTGATTCAAAAATCAACAAGATTTGCACTTGCTAAAAGGAGCAACAGCTGTAACTTGCTGTCCTTAACAGTTCCACACAATAATGTTTAAAAAAAGAGAGAAATAAAAACAAACTAAGGTTTGAATTTGTACAATTTCTGTGCCAGATCTGGTTGAGAGATGAAGAAGAAAAGAGTCTGCTGGGAACAGAGGAGGATGGTAAGTTAGTAATTATGTCTCTTGGTACCTGTTTTGTTTACTAATCAAAGGTCTAATTGCTTTGCTCTGTTTTAATTAACAGTGTTCTTAGTTTCATTAGTTACTTTTCCTGCATACATTAGCATTGAGAGAAACCACTGAGAATATGAATAATATGATGAAGAGTTTAAAGTTAAGCTTTTTAAAATGTTAAAATCTTTTTAAAAACAATTTCACAAGAGTTTAATAATGAAAAATAAAGTTGTTCTTCATAAATGTGGCTACTACTTCTCCAAGGATTTCATCTTAGAAAAAAAAAAAAAAAGTTTTTTTCTTTTAACTTAAGAAGTCAACTGGTATAAAATACAATTACCAAGAAGAGATAATGTAGGAATATGAAAGGTTTGACAGTATTTAGATATACTAAAATGTTCAAGCTGGCCAAAGCTTTTGAAACGTCCCAATGCGACAGCCATTCTCTTAAAAACCCATCTTAACATGATTAGCAATTATCTTTGAAACTTATGGAACTTTATCTTCTTCCCTAAGAGAGGCTAGGAAAAGGCCAACAGTGCCCTGTGGAGGAACTGGAGAACTCACACAAACTGTTCCAATTCCTGGGAAGATATCAGAACAAATAACCTTTACGTAAGTACTTTAACAAGGACATACGTAGCAACCGTTGTCTTTTTCCTATGAACTGTTTTTGACAAATGTTTTTACTTCCTCTGTGGGGCAGGTAACAGGCTTGGTGTATAGGGAGAACTATAAATCCTCAAGTTTTGGATATAGCTCTGCCTAATGTTCCTGTGTGCAACCTAAGAAGGGTTGGTCTGTATGAAACTAACAGGCGTACGTTACACAGCTGGTTAGAAAACCACACATGGTAGTTAGCCGTCAAATTGTTGGCAACTACCCAATTGGGATTTTGCAGAGGCCTGAGTCTGCTTACTTTAAGCAGTAAATAAAACAGAAAATATATTCATTAAACTTGAGGATAACAGCAAAATCTCAACGTCTGAAAAACATGGTAGTAGATCATTACGATTTGTTTTGAAAGAATCAGGATGTAATTCAATAGGACAAATGCAAAGTGCTACATTTGGTAGGAATAATCAGCTGTTTAAATACAGAATGCAATAAATACAAATATAGGAACAATTGTTTGTTGCTCTTCCAGAAGAGGATGAGGCAACTTCAGTGGAAGAAGCAGAATATGAGTCAATATTACCACGCTGCTTCACAAATAGCAGTCACAATGGGATATATAAAAAGGAGCAGTGAAGTAATCCTGTGCTATCCAACCCAAGTAAATGGTTAACTCAAATACTATGATCAGGTTTGATTATCACGTGATGGGGGGAAAATGGGGGAGGCAGGTTCGCTGAAGATTCTGGAATGCAACAGAAATGACAAGGGATGTACAGAAAATGTGACTGATGAAAAAACCTGAGGAAATTGGATCATGAAGTCTAGAGATGCCTTAGGAAGACACAGTGATGTAGTTTTCAGGAGTGCAGAAAGTAACTAAGGAAACGAACTACTCACCATTCTGCTATGTACAGGACAAGAAGTGTTCCTTGCTACAACTAAAAACTTCATAAAGCATGGCTAAAGGACTACAATTGATTGTCCAGGGAAGCTTAAGGAAAAAAAACATATATATTTATCAGAGTATCATGTATCTGATTCCATCTTCAGGTGGCAAGAGATTAGGCTGATTCTTGAGGCCTTTGCCAGCCCACTATTCTGATTGCCAATCCTGTACTTCTTTAATGCCACAGCATAACAAATATTTCAGGCAGAATACTGTAGTAGAATACCTACCACTGAATTACCTCTGCAAAGAGACGAATAGTAAGTTTTGCACAGCTGTAGCAGGGAGAAGAGGCAAAGCGAAGCTCAGTCCTTGCAAGAAGATTTGCACTGATTTTAGCCTTGATTTGTTTTGGTATGCTTCTGCCAGCTGAGTGCAACTCCAGAATCTTTCTCTTCTTCAGTAAAAGATCACGCTGCAGTTACCAACCAAACACAAGCTGGTCTTTCAGTGCCAAAATGCTATTGCCCTAGCACAGCAGCTGAAGAAGGTTATGGATGCAATTATCAGAAGCTAAAAAAATATCTTAGAATTGGGTTTCCTAGATAATTAGCTATTCAAGCCATACTTGAGAAGCATTCATTTGTAAAAAGGATGTATTTTGCCAAAGTCGCAACCAACTCCAAGTATACTACAAAAGCTGCTTAATGTAAAAATCTGACTTCTGCTTAATTACAGCACAGTTCACACCATTTGCCAGCAACTTTTTTTTAATCACACTTGCATCCGTTAGTGAATGGGGGGGAGCACGAAGTGCAAACACCCAGAGGAACAACCAAGTGGTTTTCTTTATCTTCTTCAAGACTAGCACTAGGGTACATGCTTCTGAGAGACACCAAATGCTTTCCACTCACACTTGTTACTCAGAGAAAATCAGCTGTTTAAGGACTGGCAACTCGCTTGTTTGTAAAGTACATCTCAAACCCAGCCTAAGTCAAATGTGCTTTTAAAAACTTAACCATTTGGCAGTCAGATCACAACCACTATGAATAAGCTTCTAGTTCACTAGCAATGAGGAACACAAAGAACACCGTGTATCTGACATTGCCAGGGTGACTGGTAAAGGTTCAACTACAGATAAGCATTTTAGTCCTCATGAATACTCAACTCCACTTTTCTTTCCTTAAGATGACTCCCTCTGGAGCTGAGTGAGCGATGCTAACAAGATACTGAGGAGCAAACTTCTGTACTGTTGCCTGTATACTAAGCTTTCCATAGCCTACAGAATTTCCTTGTGAGAAATGTTAAATTTAGCAAGAGTAACAGAACGCATTATACCTCCCTCTTCCCTCCACAAGCCCAACCAAAACAAGACTGTGAAAGTACTTGCCACCTTTTATATTTTTATTGTGCATTTTCTAAGTGCTTAAAGATACGAGACTGTATGCATTACATTGCCCGTACATAGTATGCCACACAGTAAGACAGACAGATCCCCCAAAGTTTTCATATTCTAATTCAAACAGCCAAAAGTTAGACAAAATATTATCTCATTATACAGAAGGCAAACTGCAGAAAGTGTCTGAGATCACACAAAAATAAAGGGAGCAACTGAAAGAGATCTTCCAAATCTGTACATTAAGTCCATCAAAAATACCATGTGCTTTTGGCATTTCTAAAACAGAATACAAATTCTATGAATCTAGTTAGGGCTTGTCAAGTTAAAAAGATTATTTAAAAATAAATTTTCCTAAGTTCCCAATTCAGAAGAAATTAAAGTATGAAAATCAATGAAATAATAAGTACAAAAGGAATAAACAAAACCCTTTTTCCTCCTTCAGTATAAATTAATTGCCAGACTAGTTTGTCATAGATTACTTTTCTTTCTTTCATGTAAGGATGCATATAAATTCATGAAGTTCTTCTCAGAGGATGAAATTAAGTTGTCAAGATCATAACCAGCTTCAAAGGTAGGTCTCTTTCCAAAAATTACAAGAGCAAGAAATACAGCAAAATGTGCAGTAAGTCCCCATATCTTGAATGACTTGTTATGTTCGTGGTCATCATACGTAAAGCAGTGCATCCAACTCGAGTAACCAGATGAGGTTTTATAAGGCAAGGTCTTGTAATTTAAGGGCTTGATAAAGTACTCCAATGGGACAACAAAGACATCACTCACTTCATCTGGATTAGGAGTGGCCTGGAATGTATCCTCTATAAATCCTACAACTGGTGTTACCAAGTGATTCATCTAAAATGAAAACAAAACAAAAACAACAAAAACACCACAAAGTTTGTACCAAGTAAATGTTCTTTTATGTTAAAGTTTTACCTCATCAAAATTTCATTTGTTGGTGCTTCTGTCCATTTTCTCAAGCAGAGCTTGGTGTATCACCTGCTCTATAACCACCCTGGAGGTATCTGAAGAGAGCAACTAGATTCCCTGCTAGCTTTCTCTTCTTCAGGCTGAGCAAACCCACGTCCCTCAGTCTCTTCTCATAATCCATGTGCTCCAGCCCCCTTACCGTCTTTGTGGCTCTCTGCTAGGCTCTCCCCAGTTTACCACCGTCTTTCCAGTACTCCCATGTCTCCATAACTGGACGTGGTACACTAAATGTGGTCTCACAAATACCAAACACAGAGCAAGAATCTCTTCCCTTCGTTCCGCTGGCAACACAGGCCACGCACTTTAACGAGCAGTCCTTATTTATATGTTTGAAAAAGTCATTATCAACATTACAAAAGAAAACAACCCAAGCTTATTTTCTAACGAAATGCTGACTTACTCAGTTTATTGCTTACTTTATCAATTCCAGGCACAAGCCTACAGACGACTTCCACCTTCTCTGGCTCCAGTCCCACTTCTTCTTTAGCTTCTCGGAGAGCAGTATCAATTTCATCTTTATCAGTTGCTTCACTTTTACCTCCTGGAAAACACACTTCCCCTGGTGATCTTCTCAGCTACAATGTAAAGGAGTGCTACTGTTAAATATAACGAGTTTTACACTTCTTCTTGTATCCTCACGGACACTTGTTCATATTGCAGAATCACTTTATCTTTCCAGTCAAAGAACCAGGAAACAGTGGCAAGAGGTTTCTGCACATCAGAAGAAACGTGCCCTATAAAGAGGTACACAAGAAGTTCGGGCTGTACCCAACAAATCCATAAACCCTCGCTATCAAAAATACACAATACTGTACAAGTGATATGTGTAATTCATACGATACACGCTGCTTTAATACTTCAGAATTTAAATTTTTCACCCTCTTGCTTGCATAAGACACAGATGAATCTAGACATACAACTTGAACAGGGAGATCAAAATACTCAAGGTAAGAGCAAGGACTTCTAAAATAAGTATTTAAATGACATACCTTTAAGTACATTATAGTAATAGGCTTGTGCATCAAAGATCAGTAAAAGCCCACTTCCAGTTACTTAGCTGATAAACTGATTGTAATTATTGGGGTCTCAAAATTTCTAAGCAATACCCCAAAAAACTTCCGTTTTTCAGCAACAGGAAACCAGACAATCTCTGAATACAGGCAGGTTGATTGGGGCGGGGGGGCAGTAAGAGTTGTAAAAGGAAACAAAACGCTGGCAGAAGAGTTCTGGGGGACTTGGTTGTTGCCCTTCATGTACGAAAATAAGAGTAATATTAACTGCAGACTGGTAAGTCACAATAGTAACAGCTGCACTGCAATGTCAGCTTCCTTATTTAAAGAACTACAGGATCAAAATTTCCTTTTATGATCCGAAAGTCAGCTTTTACCCTCACGGGTCCCTGGGTATCGGGCATTTTTCCACCACGTACATACGAGAGACCGCCGGTGCGCAGAAACACCCA